GTTAGATAAAGAGTGTTGAGTAGATAAGACAAGGAGAAAAGTAATGGGAAATCACCGACCCGGTGGGGGAAAATTTTTCAGCTTGTCCGGCTAGCTATGCCCCTGCTCATAGCTGGGAATGGTCAGCGACTTCCCGAAGGTATCCTGAAAGCAACGATTTTATATGGGGTAGGGACAGTTCGGTAGAGAAAACGTGATGCAAACTATTATAATTTTTACATAGCACGCGAAAAGGATTGTGCATAGCGTAGTCTGTTGTGCACGTAGATAGGAATAAGGGGCGATAATTTCTGGTTGGTCTAGCCGGAACAGAGAATTGAAGACGCCATAGCAAAAAGGAGAATCTATGTCGCCAATAATCAACTTATGTAGAAGGACAACACCGAGAATTGTCCTACGGTTGGTTAACGACGGAAGGTTGAGAAGAGGCAATCTGGTGGAGTAGGACGGCAACCGAAGATTAGGGTCCCAATTTAAACCTCGTAAGGCAAAAAGCAGAAATTGCTTCTGAACAGATTCAATACGATCCTAGCTGTTGTTATACTGTGGAGACCAGATGCAAGAGCAGTATTCAAGGATAGGGCGAACAAGCGAGATGTACAGAAGTTTTGCTATAAAAGGATCGTTAAACACCTTAGACCATCGTTTAATGAATCCAAGTACACCTTTTGCCTCATTAACAATGGTATCTATGTGAAGATTGAAACAGAGTTTAGAATCAAAAATAACGCCTAGATCCTTAACTGTTAGATAAGGTGGAGTACGATTAAATGTCATAAACATACACTTTGAAAAATTTAGATGCAATTGATTGGCCGAACACCAAAGTTGCATAGCGTTCAAATCGACTTGTAGACGAGAATGATGTAGGGGGTTAGAGTATAATAGAAAAAGTTTGACAGAGGGAAGATCATTTATAAAAAGAGTAAAGAGTAAAGGTCCAAGATGACTACCTTGAGGAACACCAGAAGTAATGTGAGCCCGTTTAGAGGTAGTCAACCTCAGTATTACTCTTTGGGTCCTACCTTTTAAATAAGAATTAATCCAAAGTAAAAGGGACAGAGGGAAACCTATTCGGTCAAGTTTAAAAAGTAAAATGTCATGGTGCACAGAGTCAAACTCCTTCCTGAAGTCAGTGTAAATAACATCAGTTTGCATTTTCGAAAGGAAAGCATCATTTACCAAGGAAGTCAACTCAAGCAGATTGGTCGTAGTTGACCGATTCTTTACGAAGCTTTAGCAATGGATAAAAAAGGGAAGAACTACACTCCTTGAGTAGACAACTAGGAATATTGTCCGGCCCAAGAGAGTAAGAAGATTTTAAAGAGTTTATAGCTAATAGGAGAGAGGAGTGTGAAATAATGGGGGGAGGTATAGAACTAGCGGAAGAAATAGTATAAGGGTAAGAATTAGTATTAGGACAGACTAAAGAGTAAGTTGATTGGAAAAAATTAGCAAAGAGGTTAGCAGAATCAGTGTAATTGCTAGCTTTATCCATCCCAAAAAAAAAGAAGATGGCAAACTTGAAGATTTACGCTTCAAGTTTACAAAATTATAAAACTGTCTCGGATTTCGGGCGAATTGCCTTTTACAACGGATTAGATAATTCTCATATTGTGAATTAAGAAGAAAGAAGTTCGACTTGGCTATGGAATATTTAGCCAAGTCTGTACACGAACCAGACTTTTAAAAACTTTTTAAAATATTTGGATTTTACATTTTTTAGATGCGATAATCTGGGAGTAAACCAGGGTGGTTTTGAAAAAGTAGTCAAAGGAATTGACTTAGGAATACACACATCTAAGAGGGAGTTTAGGGTGATATAAAAAAAATTAATGGCTGTATTCATATCAACTGAGTCATATAAGAAAGACCAATCGGTTGAATAAATAAGCTGATTCAGCAAAGAATAATTTCCTTTGCGAAAGCAATAGCGGGGCTTATTGGCTGATGAGCACGAAATGAAAGGATTACAATTTAGCATTGCAATCTCTAAAGTTGGATGATAGACATCCTCAGGAAGAGATAAAGGAGGGGACCTAGACACATTAGAAATAAGGTAGTCGTTAACAAATACAAGGTCAAGTGTTCTATTCATATGATTAGAAATTGAATTGATTTGAAAAAACGAAAGATCAAGCATGCAGTCTAAAAAATCGTGCTGTGCTGAGGGCACTAGATAATTTTCAGCTGTGAATAATGACCAAAAGATGTTCAGCAAATTAAAATCACCCAACACCAATAATAGGTCATTATCCCGCACGTGTGAAGAAACTTCTTTAATACAAGTAATACTTATGATTCATATAAACTTGAATATCAGAAGAAGGTGGGACATAAGAGCATGTTACATAGATATTCTGTGTAGGAAAAGACACCTTAACTGAGACAATCTCAGCGTCAGTAGGCGTACTACAACAGAATAGTTCAGACTGGAGAGTGGCTTTAACGGCAATTAACACCCCACCACCTCGAGTCGGCCGATCATTTCTAAACAAAATAAAGTTATTCGGTAATATCTCAAAATCAGATATGGTTGAGTTTAACCATGTTTCTGAAAATGCTATTATGTCCGAATCGAAGGAAGTGCTGGCAATAAAAAGATTTTTTAGCTTTGAAGTGAGACCTCTGACATTCTGATAATGAATAAAGATTTGGTCAGAAGATGAAGCTAGTTTTTTGGGGCAGAAATGGTACCCTGTATTGAAAGGACTGGAAGGGTGACAGGCTGGTTACGCTTTTTAGGCTTGAACTCATGAACAATCATGTGTGGTGGCCAAAATTTGGGATCACAAATGATTGGGAACATATCATGTGAAACATTTATTTTGAATGATGATATTTCACGAGGGGTGGAGAAATTAAATTTAGTTATTGACACGCTAGCAGAAGATTTGCTAGCAATATAGGCTGCCAATGACTCAGAAGTGGTGTCCGACGAAAGTCGAGACACAAAAACTTGCCTACGAGGGGCAACTACCGTTAAAGTAGGCGCTGATGGGGCTATAGGTAATACAGGTGTTGGAGGAGCTAACGAGGCAATGATTGTTTTTAACAATCTGGGCAGGATTGCGCGCAGGTCTACCTTTGCGGCCAGCAGCAGTCGGGGCTGAGGCAGTTTGATTAACTAGGACGGGATCAGGTACGGGCTCTGCTGGGACTAGTACAGGGGTTGAAACAGGGGTAATTGGACAGTCGCTTGGAGAAGGCGATAAAGACAACATTGGAGATAACTCCAAGTTGCTAGGAAGGGACAAGAAAGTCGTAGGTGTCTGAACAGACGTAGAGGGCAATTGCAAAAGTTGAAGCTCCAACCGGCGATTGGTTGGGGACTCAAATTTATATTTGCCAAGCAACTCGAAACTCGAGTCAAAATTACTCGAGAGCTGCTTAGCCACATTATTTAATTTTAAGAATTGATTTCTCACAGAATTATACATTCTGGAGAAATCAATTTGCTTGTCGATGCATTCTGGGCACGACCAACGCAAGCCACGGCTGCCCTTCTTGGCAATAGCAGCGATCTTGTCGCAATCACGCCCAGCGAGACCTGCACATTTAGCATGCATCATATTCTCACACAGCCAGCTATTAACAAATTGCGGCAGTGCAGAATCATCAGCCTGCTTGAACGTGCACGGTTTCTTACAGCACGACATAATTATTAAATGCGTATGCAAGATACGAGAGCGCAGAGCAAAACGAAAACGGTGCACAAGATAGAGCAAGTAAACACTCAACAAAACAATTATTCGTACACAAACAAATTGTTTGGAGCGAAAACAATAGAAAAAATTTGCGAGAGCGCGATGGGCAAGCAGAAAGTATGCAGCGAACACACGCACAAACAAGTGTATGCACAGGGAAGCACCAAAGCAAAAGAATCAAAGCAGGCAATAACAACAACACGGAACTGACGCCGCGTTTTATAAAATGCAATAATTAACAGACTTACGCTGTACAACAGATAACACTTTGCACAGTTTATAAAAGCTTTTTAAATAAAGCACCGAAAAATGCAAAATTTTGAAATTAAAAGCAGGATTAAAGCGGAAAAATATATAAAAATCTTGGAGCACAAGTAAAACACGTCAATCACTCTCAGCTGAGAACTCTCTCTGATAAAAATGAAGGAAAACCATTAAGAGGCTTACCATATGAAGAACGTGTCCGGGCATACATGTCGGCCCGGAATAGGATTTTTGGTGAGCGGCAGCTGGAGGGGATGACATTGGCCATCAGAAGAGTGCTCAAGGCTCGGGCGCGCTCCCGCAGACGCAAGATGACGAGGCACCAGGTCATCGAAACTGTGAAATGGGAGGATAGCCTAGATCCGCGCGTATTCACCGAAGTGGAGGTCGCTGGAATTAAAATGAAAGGGTTGCTAGACACCAGAGCCTCGGTCAGCCTGCTGGGACAGTGGATATTAGTCGTTTGTTGGTTGAAGCTTTTATATGTGCATCATTTAAAATGCAGCCGATTGTCGCAGTTTTGTTCTTGTTGTAAAATTGTTGATTCATCAATGTTTTGTGTGTCGTTGCTTGTTACGAAACTGATTGTTTCTAGGTGGGCCGCGCGGCTGGCTCATCGGTTTCTCTTTGCTTCTGTGGCACACAGCGCCTGAATCCAGCGACGGAGGACGCTGGCCAGATCAAACCAGATCGGCGTAACCATCACGACGGTGAGACGAGCCATCACGGACGGACGCCAACGACGAAGAGGCGGCCGTAGGCCAGACCACGCCCACTTCATCACTGAGTGAGTCTGTTCTACGTCGGCCTTCAATCGCCTGAGTTAAAGGCAGAGGCTGAAGCAAACCCATAGTTGAGGCTCCCTGAAGGAGACCAGATATTTTTTTTTTTGGAATTGTTAACTCTAATTTTTTTTTGTAAATTGAATATATAATATACTCACGACTAGTCGCAATTAAGGAAATTTCCGAAAGTGCGAACAAAGTGCGAAAGTGCGAAATGGCCCAAAGATTATTGCGTCTGCCAAGATTTTGGTCAACTTTATTGGATTGATTGTCTCCCCTTTCTTTTATTTCTTTGTTATTTTATATTAACATCTCACCTTAGATGGTTACATTTACTTATCGTCACAGCTGTTTATGTTGTTCATCTGTTAGAAGTTCCGATTGTTTCTTGTTATCAATTTGTGTCCAAATATTTTTTTTTTGGAATTGTTAACTCTAATTTTTTTTTTGTAAATTGAATACATAATATACTCACGACTAGTCGCAATTAAGGAAATTTCCGAAAGTGCGAACAAAGCGCGAAAGTGCGAAATGGCCCAAAGATTATTACGTCTGCCACGATTTTGGTCAACTTTATTGGATTGATTGTCTCCCCTTTCTTTTATTTCTTTGTTATTTTATATTAACATCTCACCTTAGATGGTTACATTTACTTATCGTCACAGCTGTTTATGTTGTTCAGCTGTTAGAAGTTCCGATTGTTTATTGTTATCAATTTTTGTTCGTTTTGCAGAGTGGTGTGTAAGTCTGTTTTGCCACAGACGTGTAGCTTTGTTGTAATCGATTGTGCCGACTGCGGGCCAGGGATGGGACTACACCCAGAAAAGCCGATAAGCCAGCCTGCGTGGCCCACCGAGAAACAAGAAGTTTCGTAACATTATGGCGCCCAATTAGGTCGCGCGGGGAGCGAAGTACTCATCCAGCAGCCCAGTATATTGCGCCGATGCTCACCGAGGAACTACCGGAATCCGAATAATCGCCATTTCCGAGTGGAGGACCAGAGAGCGGATGACTTTCAGCCGGAGGAAGCGTATGCCAACGTACGAGAAGCGACGTACCTAAAGCTTGAACGGTGGAATGTCAAGTTCGATGGCTAGGACGCAATGAATTCTGTTGAGGACTTCGTGTTTCGCCTGGAGTTCCTGCAGAGGCAGTATCAATGCCCGTGGAAGGAGGTCCTGCGAGTTGTTTTCCTGCTCCTGATCGGCCGTGCCCGCGAGCGGTACTGGATGCACGTGCGGCATTCCAGGGTTAGCTGGATGCAACTGTGGCACGCTCTCTTAAACAGGTTTTGGGGATATCAGACGGAGTACGACGTGATGCAGGAGCTACCGCAGCGAGAGCAACAGACCAGCAAAGGGGTGGACGACTATATTCACCACATGCGTCACACGCTAAGAGACCGTGAACTGGTAAAGATTATAAAGCATGGCTTGAGGAGAGTTTGTCGAAACACATCTATGCCATGGTTGTACTAACCGTGGATGAGCTGCGCCATGAATGCATAGAAGTGTAGTGGCACAGTGGTCGCAGAAGCCTACGTGCAGCCGTCGCGTTACTTACAAGGAAAGAGGCCCACAGTTCATAAGGTTGAAGTACCACCACATCGTGCGGAAACACCACCTAAAAAACTGGAGGAGGCATTCATGCGAGGCAGATGATGTCGAGTAGTGTGCTGGAACTGAAGGCAGTTCGACCATGTCTTTAGATACTGCCTATCTAAGAAGAGAAAGATATTCTGCTACAGATGCGGAAATCCGGACACATTCTGTGCCCAATGCGAAAATTGCCCGGGAAACCCCAGAGGGAGCTCAATAGTAGCAGGACAGACACGTTTAGGGACGGCGATCGCCGAAAAACAAGAGAGGAACATCTACCACAAACAATAACACTGGTAGAGGAGAAGAATATAGACCATAAGGACCAGGTTAAGGTTATATATAAGGATTAAAAATTAAGGAATACCATTAAGAGGCTTACTATATGAAGAACGTGTATAAAACGGGTATACATGTCGGCCCGGAATAGGATTTTTGGAAAGATAGGCACCGGGTCATCGAAGCTGTGAAACGGGAGGCTAGCCTAGATCCGCGTGTAGGTCGCTTGGATCCAAAAGAACGTTCTGTTAGACACAGGAACCTGTCAGTCTGCTGGGACGAGGTTGGCGGGAGTAAGTGGAGGAACTGGGATAGGAAGCGGAGCCATACGCATCGATGGTAAGGACAGCGGTGGGTGACAATCGCCAAATTTTAGGCCGCATTGTTCTGCCTGAAAAATACGGAAGTAATAAAGAAGAGATCATATTTTACATGTGCCCGGACCTGCGACAGGAACTGTACCTGGAAATCGACTTGTTGCGGACTTTCGTGATTGCCCCAGAGTTGCTCGGCCCGCCCATTAAGTCCGAAGTAGCTCCAGCGGCATCTGAGCTAACGGTAACGAACCCAGTGGTAGCTTATTATCGAGACGACGACGACCGCGTGACAGATCCGGAAATGTGGAGCCTGGACAACGATCAGAAGAGTCGATTAGAAACGGGTGGCATAGGGAAAACTCACCTGTTGCAGCATCGTATAAAGCTGATCGGAGCCGAACCCGTGAAGGATAGGCATGATGAGGCTTGGGAAGAACAGGTTTTGTTTAGACGCCAGGAAATTTAACAGTTTGAACAGTTCACTTTTTGGCAAATCGAGATGGAGGAGAGGAGCAGGGCGTATACGGCATTTACTGTGCCAGGGAGGCCGCTGTACCAGTTCTGCCACATGCCATTTGGGCTCTGCAACGCCGATCAAAAATTATGTGAGATCATGGACATAGTAATCCCGGCAAGTCTGAGATCAAACGTATTCGTATATCTCGACAATTTACCCATATCGGCAGATTTACCGACGCACCTGAAATACTTGGAATTGGTGGCCGAAGTCCAAATTTTGTTTCCGCAACGGGAAGAGTGGAGGCACTCCGGAACATCCCGAACCCAAGGACGGTCAAGGAACAACGAAGCTTTCTAGGTACGACGGGGTGGTATCGCCGATTCATAAAGAACTTCGCCGAGATTTCATTGGTGGGACATTGCGCATGTATTCGGGAAGAGTGGAGGCGATCCGGAACATCCCAAACGCAAGGACGGTCAAGGAACAACGGACGCGCCGTCAGCTCATGGAGCGCTGCACGCGCTGCGTCGTCGATTCTATTCGCCCAACATGACTATACAAGTCAGGGACTACGTGCATTCTAGAAGATATACATCGACTTCTTGGGGAAATATCCACGGTCGAAACGAGGGCATGCGTGGATATTCGTAGACGTGGACCACTTTTCAAAGTTTACCTTTTTAATACCTATGAAGGAAGCCACCGCGGCAGAAGTCGTCAACTTCCTTGTACACGAGGTGTTCTTTAAATTTGGCGTGCCGGAAGTGATTCACTCGGATAATGGGCGGCAATATATTTCAAAATCATTCAATGCAATGGTCCAGGCATTTGGCAACACGCATTCGCGTACCCGGTCTACTCGCCTCCGAGTAACGCCGCCGAACGCGTGAGTCGCACGGTACTGTCTGCGATAAGAACATACTTGGGCCAGGATCACAGAGAATGGGACGCGTACCTGCCAGAGGTAGAAGTGGCACAGCGCAACGGGGGTGACTCCGTTCTTTGTGGTGTTTGGATAGCACATATACTTGAATGGTTCCAGTTACAAGCTGGCCCGGAAGCAGTGGACATGGTGGATCACGACATTTCTGACCTAGACGCAAAGGAAAGTCTGGCTGTAATCCGAAACCAGGTCAAGGGACACCTACACACCCCAAACGAGCGGAGTCGGTAACGCTATGATCAACGACCGCGACAATTCCATCTGGTGCCGAGTCACGAAGTCTGGTGGCGCAACTTCGCACTCAGCAGCTTTGGTAAAGCCTTCAATACCAAGTTCGCCCGGAAATTCCTAAAGAGCCGCGTCGTCCGATCCATAGGTACCAACGCCTAAGAGTAAGAAGATCTCCAGGAACGTTTGATCCTCACCAAGCGTTAACGGCGGCAGCGCGTTCCTCTTCGGTCAGCGACGCCAGTACAGAGTAGGGAGAGTGAATCGCATGCCCTTCGATATGTTCTTGGCCTTTATTTGGGCCCAGAAAAATTCATCTGTGCAGATGAGCAAGAACGGTGGCCGTCTTTAAATGTATGCGTGCGCCGAAATTCGGCGCCTATGATGTTACTGCCCAAATGTATACAGAGGAGTTCGACTTTTTCAGCGGTTAACGGCGGGTGTGCCGTGCTCAAAAGCGAGTTGAAGTTTTTCAATGCCGGCCGCAAGTCATCAGTCCTTCAGTCCATCAGGCCTTTATAAAAATAAAGTTTAAATTTAATCGAGAACGGGCGTTTTAGAAAACACAAATTTATTACATACAGAATATATTGCAAACCAAATCGCCGAAAACAAATAATATCCATCATACACACACACATACACTTGTGATAAAACACGCAGTCGTGCGAGGTTAAAACAACAAAAAGAACACTCTATTAGAGTTATCTCAACCATTTGTTGGCGCACAGTGCCTGAATTCCGTGCACTTGTCAGCGGCGCCACCATCGACGAGGCTCCCAAGACGAAGAAGCGGCCACCGGCAAGAAGAGCCACCAAAACCGGGCTCCAACAGCAGAGAGGTGGCCATAGCGAGACCACGCCCACTTCATCACTGAATAAGTCCGTTCCACGTCGCCCGAGAAAATGGCCGAGTCAGACATAGACTCCTAAAACAAGATTTTTTTTTGCAATTGTTTATATTGTTTTTTTTTTTGTTAATTATATACCTGTAGATATACTTACTAGGTGGAACTTGCACCTAAGAGTGCGTCAGCGAGGGAAAGGCTCCTAAAATTACCCCGGTTTCAAGCCCTGTACTAGACCCAGTAGAGCCCGTACCTGATTCCGTCCCAATTAATCAAACTGCCTCAGCCTCGTCAGCTCCTGGCCGCAAAGGTAGACCTGCGCGCAATCTTGCCCAGATTGTTAAAAACAATCATTGTGCCTCGTCAGCTCCTTCAACTCCTGTATTACCTACAGCCCCATCAGCGCCTACTTTAACGGTAGTTGCCCCTCATAGGCAAGTTTTTGTGTCTCGACTTTCGTCGGACACCACTTCTGAGTCATTGGCAGCCTATATTGCTAGCAAATCTTCTGCTAGCGTGTCAATAACTAAATTTAATTTCTCCACCCCTCGTGAAATATCATCACTCAAAATAAATGTTTCCGATACATGATATGTTCCCAATCATTTGTGATCCCAAAATTTGGCCACCACACATGATTGTTCATGAGTTCAAGCCTAAAAAGCGTAACCAGCCTGTCACCCTTCCAGTCCCTTCAATACAGGGTACCATTTCTGCCCCAAAAAACTAGCTTCATCTTCTGACCAAATCTTTATTCATTATCAGAATGTCAGAGGTCTCACTTCAAAGCTAAAAAATCTTTTTATTGCCAGCACTTCATTCGATTCGGACATAATAGCAATTTCAGAAACATGGTTAAACTCAACCATATCTGATTTTGAGATATTACCGAATAACTTTATTTTGTTTAGAAATGATCGGCCGACTCGAGGTGGTGGGGTGTTAATTGCCGTTAAAGCCACTCTCCAGTCTGAACTATTCTGTTTTAGTACGCCTACTGACGCTGAGATTGTCTCAGTTAAGGTGTCTTTTCCTACACAGAATATCTATGTAACATGCTCTTATGTCCCACCTTCTTCTGATATTCAAGTTTATATGAATCATAAGTATTACTTGTATTAAAGAAGTTTCTTCACACGTGCGGGATAATGACCTATTATTGGTGTTGGGTGATTTTAATTTGCTGAACATCTCTTGGTCATTATTCACAGCTGAAAATTATCTAGTGCCCTCAGCACAGCACGATTTTTTAGACTGCATGCTTGATCTTTCGTTTTTTCAAATCAATTCAATTTCTAATCATATGAATAGAACACTTGACCTTGTATTTGTTAACGACTACCTTATTTCTAATGTGTCTAGGTCCCCTCCTTTATCTCTTCCTGAGGATGTCTATCATCCAACTTTAGAGATTGCAATGCTAAATTGTAATCCTTTCATTTCGTGCTCATCAGCCAATAAGCCCCGCTATTGCTTTCGCAAAGGAAATTATTCTTTGCTGAATCAGCTTATTTATTCAACCGATTGGTCTTTCTTATATGACTCAGTTGTAATGAATACAGCCATTAATTTTTTTTATATCACCCTAAACTCCCTCTTAGATGTGTGTATTCCTAAGTCAATTCCTTTGACTACTTTTTCAAAACCACCCTGGTTTACACCTAGATTATAACATCTAAAAAATGTAATCCAAATATTTTAAAAAGTTTAAAAAGTCTGGTTCGTGTACAGACTTGGCTAAATATTCCATAGCCAAGTCGAACTTCTTTCTTCTTAATTCACAATGCTATGAGAATTATCTAATCCGTTGTAAAAGGCAATTCGCCCGAAATCCGAGACAGTTTTATAATTTTGTAAACTTGAAGCGTAAATCTTCAAGTTTGCCATCTTCTTTTTTTCTTGGGATGGATAAGACTAGCAATGACACTGATTCTGCTAACCTCTTTGCTAATTTTTTCCAATCAACTTACTCTTCAGTCTGTCCTAATACTAATTCTTACCCTTATACTATTTCTTCCGCTAGTTCTATACCTCCCCCCGTTATTTCACACTCCTCTCTCCTATTAGCTATAAGCTCTCTAAAATCTTCTTACTCTCCTGGGCCGGACAATATTCCTTGTTGTCTACTCAAGGAGTGTAGTTCTTCCCTTTTCTATCCATTGCTAAAGCTTTTTAATCTATCCCTTGAAGCTTCTGTTTTCTTCGAATTTGCAGCATTTCTGCAAATCAGTTGTTTCCCCTGTTCAACATGGATTCGTAAAGAATCGGTCAACTACGACCAATCTGCTTGAGTTTACTTCCTTGGTAAATGATGCTTTCCTTTCGAAAATGCAAACTGATGTCATTTACACTGACTTCAGTAAGGCGTTTGACTCTGTGCACCATGACATTTTACTTTTTAAACTTGACCGAATAGGTTTCCCTCTGTCCCTTTTACTTTGGATTAATTCTTATTTAAAAGGTAGGACCCAAAGAGTAATACTGAGGTTGACTACCTCTAAAAGGGTTCACGTTACTTCTGGTGTTCCTCAAGGTAGTCATCTTGGACCTTTACTCTTTACACTTTTTATAAATGATCTTCCCTCTGTTATATCACATGCCCGTGTACTCATGTATGCGGACGATGTCAAACTTTTTCTATCATACACTAACCCCCTACATCATTCTCGTCTACAAGACGATTTGAACGCTATGCAACTTTGGTGTTCGGCCAATCAATTGCATCTAAATTGTTCAAAGTGTATGTTTATGACATTTAATCGTACTACACCTTATCTTGTCAGTTATACAATCGACAATATCCCTTTGCAACGTATACTAACAGTTAAGGATCTAGGCGTTATTTTCGATTCTAAACTCTGTTTCAATCTTCATATAGATACCATTGTTAATGAGGCAAAAGGTGTACTTGGATTCATTAAACGATGGTCTAAAGAGTTTAACGATCCTTTTATAACAAAACTTCTGTACATCTCTCTTGTTCGCCCTATCCTTGAATACTGCTCTTGCATCTGGTCTCCACAGTATATCAACAGCCAGGATCGTATTGAATCTGTTCAGAAGCAATTTCTGCTTTTTGCCTTACGAGGTTTAAATTGGGACCCTAATCTTCGGTTGCCGTCCTACTCCAGCAGACTGCTTCTTCTCAACCTTCCGTCGTTAATCAACCGTAGGACAATTCTCGGTGTTGTTCTTCTACATAAGTTGATTATTGGCGACATAGATTCTACTTTTCTGCTAGGGCGTCTTCAATTCTCTGTTCCGGCTAGACCAACCAGAAATTATCGCCCGTTATTATTATCTACGTGCACAACAGATTACGCTATGCACAATTCTTTTCGCGTGCTATGTAAAAATTATAATAGTTTGCATCACGTTTTCTCTACCGAACTGTCTCTACCCCTAATAAAATCGTTGCTTTCAGGATACCTTCGGGAAGTCGCTGACCATTCCCAGCTATGAGCAGGGGCATAGCTAGCCGGGCAGGCTGAAAAATTTTCCCCCACCGTGTCGGTGATTTCCCATTACTTTTCTCTTTGTCCTATCCACTTAACACTCTTTATCTAACTTACATTGCTTTACTTTATTAACAATTTTCTTACTTTCTTTTTTCCTACTTATTTATTGTATTTTCTTTATTAATATAGCAAATTAAGATTATTTTTAATTTCCCTTGAGATCACCCTTTTTCCTACTTACAACCTTCTGCTTAGATGTAGGCTCTAATAGCGTCACTGACAAAATTAGCTGTGAAAAGGGGCACAGCTGGCCGGACTGGCAAATAAAACAGCTCCATCGGTCGGTGATGCTATTTAGAAAATTGTATTCTTTAACTAGGCTTTTAGCATATAATTCAATTGTAAAATCTTTTGAATAATGAGGAAGACACTCGTTTTGTCGACCATTAATAAATAAATAAATAAATAAATAAATAAATAAAAGTTATAGCACCTGTCAACTCCGAAAAAGGAGTAAAAAAAATGGTGTTTTAAGTTTCCACACCGGCCATACATGTATATATATATATATATATATATATATTTATACATATCCATATATATATTTATAAATAATGAAATAATCTTTATATTTATTTCCATCGCCCTAAGTATCGCACAAAGCTCTTTAGGTAGGCAATGTATAATTTAAGCGATTTAATTCCCACTTATTTACTTTCTTATATATATATATATATATATATATATATATATATATATATATATATATACGCAACTTTCCAACATACCATTTTGTTTTCAGCATGGTAACACATATATATATATATATATATACATTAACATATGCGTCTGCGAGCTTGTGAAGAGTTTATTGCTGACTTTCATAATAATTCATTTGTCCTCTAACGTGGTTCCGGTGGCAAATGGTCTTAACTTTCGGTGACGTTTTTGCTTCGCTAAAAATTCAAAATTTAAAAAAATTAATAGCCATTGTCCATGACATAACATAACAATGAGAAGATACAAAAATAATTATACGGAACTATTAAAATGCCAGTGATATCCACTTGCACGAAATTATAAATAGTAACTTGGTGATATCCTGCAGCGGAATAAGCAATAAGATTAAAATTTAATAATTATAAGAAATGCAACCAATTATATACCGCACCTGAAGAGAGACATGTACGGCTAATGAAGGCCATCTAGTGGCCAAAATAAGGGAGACGAGTGAAGGTGATCGTCTCATGGTAGGGCGGGTACGCTGGGTCCGGGACCTGATCTGGAAAACTGAAGTGGATTAATAGTGTTTTTATTAAATTATATAAGCGTCTCGCTGTTGTTCCTTACCTTTATTTGTAGTCGCAGCTGTTTATGTTGTTCATTTGTAAGACGTTCCGACTGTTTGATGTTATCGCAGTTTGTGGTTCGTTTTGCATTGTGTTGTATAGGTCTGCTTTGCTACAGACGTGTAGCTTTGTTATCATTGTGCGGACTGCGGGCCAGGGATTTGACTACACCCAAAAGAAACCTATGAGGCAGACGGCGCGGCCTACCGGTAAACAAGCAGTCCCGTAGTAATATAGCGCCCAAATTTGAAGAAACACTTGGCTTCTTTAAAGTCGGTGTGTAAATCAAAGAAAAATAATAAGATACTAATGAAGGTACAGAAAAAATGACTCCCTTAGCCTTAGGATCCACACCGCTGGAGTGTTATGAGGAACGAGTTGATGGCCCATAATCGCAGAGCGAGTACTGGAGACGGAGATTATCAGGATATCCAGTACCCAGCATGAGAAGTCTTTCTTGTAGTGGTTGATGGCAGTAAGTCATATTTGCATGTATGCGAAACGTTCGCGACCATCCTTCATAGCTTGGTGGTAGCACTAACCAAACAACATATAGACTGGACATCACATACAAACAGCGTTGTCACAAAACGTATCGGAGGCATCTGGTCCAAAATAGCGAGTAAGGGAGTAAGATATACATATGATGTATTTTTGAACCGCTTACTCTACAGGAAATTGCTTGGCGCACTCTCTTCCATATGATTTGTGCGATAGAACGGCAACGCTGTTCACTTTTATATCGCTCGCACTTACTCTCAGCTCTCAATGCTCTCTCTATGTTTAGGGATCGTTTCAATGTGTGTGTGTGTGTATTTGTCCGACGAGCAAAACTGAGCACAAATTCAATTTTTCTCAAATGCTGAGGCATAAGGGTAGACCTTTTGAAGGCACGGCTTATATGAAATAGAAAAAGGGTTTGCCACGTCGATGCGAAATTCTGGCATTTTAGTTCGCTATCGTTGGTAAGGGTACCCAAGCGTTGCCATGTGTGCATTTAGAATATTTTGGACTCGCTATACACGCATACTTGTATATTTTGTGTATGAATAGAAGCATTTATGCGCTTGTGTGCCTGTTCATCAAAATCATTAAAAAGAAGGGCGCGCGTCAGACGCGTGCCAATAATGATTTGTATGTATTTTCTTTTGCGCCCATGATCTGCCCATTCACAGATATTTGTATGTGTGTGTCTGTGTGTAAAGGTCCAAAATCAGAAATCCTAAAATCTTGTTAAATTTGCATCGGGGACAGGCAGGCAGGCAAGCAACAGGCACACAAGCGCATAAATGCTTCTATTCATACACAAAATATGCAAGTATGCGTGTATAGCGAGTCCAAAATATTCTAAATGCACACATGGCAACGCTTGGGTACCCTTACCAACGATAGCGAACTAAAATGCCAGAATTTCGCATCGACGTGGCAAACCCTTTCTCTATTTCATATTAGCCGTGCCTTCAAAAGGGTAGAAATGCCTCAGCATTTGAGAAAAATTGAATTTGTGCGCAGTTTTGCTCGTCGGACAAATACACACACACAGACATTGAAACGATCCCTAAACATAGAGAGAGCATTGAGAGCTGAGAGTAAGTGCGAGCGAGATAAAAGTTACCAGCGTTGCCGTTCTATGGCACAAATCATATGGAAGAGAGTGTGCCAAGCACTTTCCTGTAGAGTAAGCGGTTTAAAAATACATCATATGTATATCTTACTCCCTTACTCGCGAGTTTGGACCAGATGCCTCCGATACATTTTGTGACTGCTTCCCGGTACTCATGTCCAGTCTATATGTTGTTTGGTTAGCGGTGGTAGCCAAAACGACAAAGACATCTTGTGATGAAAAAAAGGTGACATATGGGTAGTTTTTGTTAGAGTTTGTCTATTGTGTTTGCCTCTATTTGTTTTGTTTCACTTTGTGTTTACGTTTGGTGTGTGTTGGCCCCAGCAATCTGAGTTTCGGAGACAGGTGACCCAGGACGATATTTTTTCGATCTAGCGCCACATCTATCACACAGCATACCCCAAAAGTGCGACAGATACCAATTGGCCTTCAAGGCCTTCAAGTATTTTATATTTATTAGAAAAACAATATAAAAAATCATTGTTGTGAGTTTTTTCTGTTGTCGATATTTATTTGATCATTTATTTATTATTCATTATTAGTAAGATTTGTTCGTTGGTGTTTATTTATTTATATATTTGATAGGAATTATTTGTGTAGTTTTTGTATTAGGGATTAGTATGGCCCAGGAACAGGTGTCTGATTGGGGCTCTGTTGCTGAGAGAATATGTCGTACACGGACCGCGAGCAGGCGCCATTCCGAAAGAGCAAGAAGGGGTACAGCGCGAGGAATTTCCTCCACCAGTGCCATCGAAGCCACACCGACAGGGCGCGCAAGGAGCGGAGTACTCATACAGCAGCCCAGTATATGTTGCAGCTGCTCAGGCAAGGAGCTGGCGGGGGCCGAATAATTGCCATTTCCGAGTAGAGGACCGCAGAGCGGATGACTTTCAGCCGGAGGAAGCGTATGCCAACGTACGAGAAGCGACGTACCTAAGGCTCGAGCGGTGGAACGTCAAGTTCGATGGCGAGGACGCAATGAATTCTGTCGAGGACTTCGTGTTTCGCCTTGAGTTCCTGCAGAGGCAGTATCAATGCCCGTGGAAGGAGGTCCTGCGTGCCTTTTTCCTGCTCCTGACCGGCCGTGCCCGCGAGTGGTACTGGATGCACCTAAAAAACTGGAGGAGGCATTCATGCGAGACAGGACATCATCCCGAGTAGTGTGCTGGAACTGAAGGCAGTTCGACCATGTCTTTAGATACCGCCTATCTAAGAAGAGTTAGATATTCTGCTACAGACGCGGAAAGCCGGGCACATTCTGTGCTGAATGCGAAAATTGCCCGGGAAACCACAGAGGAAGCGCAATGGTAGCAGGACAGACACGTTTAGGGACGGCGATCGCCGAAAAACAAGAGAGGAACACCTACCATAAACAATAACACTGGCAGAGGAGAAGAATATAGACCATAAGGACCAGGATAAGGTTATATATAAGGATAAAAATGAAGGAAAACCATTAAAAGGCTTACCATATGAAGAACGTGTCCGGGCATACATGTCGGCCCGGCATAGGATTTTTGGTGAGCGACAGCTGGAGGTGATGACATTGGCCACCAGAAGAGTGCTCAAGGCTCGGGCGCGCTTCCGCAGACGCAAGATGACGAGGCACCAGGTCATCGAAGCTGTGAAATGGGAGGATAGCCTAGATCCGCGCGTATTCACCGAAGTGGAGGTCGCTGGAATCAAAATGATAGGGTTGCTAGATACCAGAGCCTCGGCCAGCCTGCTGGGACAGTGGATATTAGTCGTTTGTTGGTTGAAACTTTTATATGTGCATCATTTAAAATGCAGCCGATTGTCGCAGTTTTGTTCTTGTTGTAAAATTGTTGATTCATCAATGTTTTGTGTGTCGTTGCTTGTTACGAAACTGATTGTTTCTCGGTGGGCCGCGCGGCTGGCTCATCGGTTTCACTTTGCTTCTGTGGCACACAGCACCTGAATCCAGCGACGGAGGACGCTGGCCAGATCAAACCAGATCGGCGTAACCATCACGACAGTGAGACGAGTCATCACGGACGGACGCCAACGACGAAGAGGCGGCCGTAGGCGAGACCACGCCCACTTCATCACTGAGTGAGTCTGTTCTACGTCGGCCTTTAATCGCCTGAGTTAAAGGCAGAGGCTGAAGCAGACCCATAGTTGAGGCTCCCTGAAGGAGATCAGATATTTTTTTTTTTGGAATTGTTAACTCTAATTTTTTTTTTGTAAATTGAATACATAATATACTCACGACTAGTCGCAATTAAGGAAATTTCCGAAAGTGCGAACAAAGTGCGAAAGTGCGAAATGGCCCAAAGATTATTGCGTCTGCCAAGATTTTGGTCTACTTTATTGGATTGATTGTCTCCCCTTTCTTTTATTTCTTTGTTATTTTATATTAACATCTCACCTTAGATGGTTACATTTACTTATCGTCACAGCTGTTTATGTTGTTCATCTGTTGGAAGTTCCGATTGTTTCTTGCTATCAATTTGTGACCAGATATTTTTTTTTTGGAATTGTTAACTCTAATGTTTTTTTATGTAAATTGAATACATAATATACTCACGACTAGTCGCAATTAAGGAAATTTCCGAAAGTGCGAACAAAGTGCGAAAGTGCGAAATGGCCCAAAGATTATTACGTCTGCCACGATTTTGGTCAACTTTATTGGATTGATTGTCTCCCCTTTCTTTTATTTCTTTGTTATTTTATATTAACATCTCACCTTAGATGGTTACATTTACTTATCGTCACAGCTGTTTATGTTGTTCAGCTGTTAGAAGTTCCGATTGTTTATTGTTATCAATTTGTGGTTCGTTTTGCACAGTGTTGTGTAAGTCTGTTTTGCCACAGACGTGTAGCTTTGTTGTAATCGATTGTGCCGACTGCGGGCCAGGGATGGGACTACACCCAGAAAAGCCGATAAGCCAGCCTGCGTGGCCCACCGAGAAACAAGAAGTTTCGTAACATTATGGCGCCCAATTAGGTCGCGCGGGGAGCGAAGTACTCATCCAGCAGCCCAGTATATGTCGCCGATGCTTAGCGAGGAACTACCGGAATCCGAATAATCGCCATTTCCGAGTGGAGGACCAGAGAGCGGATGACTTTCAGCCGGAGGAAGCGTATGCCAACGTACGAGAAGCGACGTACCTAAAGCTTGAGCGGTGGAATGTCAAGTTCGATGGCGAGGACGCAATGAATTCTGTCGAGGACTTCGTGTTTCGCCTGGAGTTCATGCAGAGGCAGTTTCAATGCCCGTGGAATGAGGTCCTGAGCGGCACTCACGTGCTCCTAACCGGCCGTGCCCGCGAGTGGTACTGGATGCACGTTCGGCATTCCAGGGTCGTTAGCTGGATGCAACTGTAGCACACACTCTTAGACAGGTTCCTGAGATATCAGACGGAACAGCGAAGGGGTGGACGACTATATTCACCACATGCGTCAACTCATCGCGTGGTTCCAGAAGGTTCCAGAAGGTTCCGCTGAGAGACCGCGATCTGGAGAAAATTTAAAGCGTGGCTTGCAGGAGATCTGCGCAATGGATGTACTCAGCGTGGATCAGTTGCGCCAAGAATGCATAGAGAGTGTAGAGCCACGTTTGTCGCTGTAGCCGGACTGGGTACGTACAGCCGTCGCGTTAGTCACCAGGAACAAGGCCCACAGTTCACATAAACGCCTACTAGTGAACTAGAGGAGGCATTCGTGCTGTAGGCAGTTCGATCATGCCTTTAGATACTGCCTATCAAGCGGAAGATATTCTGCTACAGATGCGGAAAGCCGAACACATTCTGCTTGAAATGCGAAACTATCCGGGAAACCCCAGAGGGAGCGCGATAGTAGCGGGACAGGCGCGTTCAGGGACGGAGAACACGGAGAAGCAGGAGAGGAGCCCCTACTAAAGCCAATAGTCGTTGGAAAGGAGTCGGATATTTGAGATAAGGACCAGGATAAGGGTATTTATAAGATAT